CAGCCTTGCTCACTGGGGAATTCTGGGAGTTGAAGTCCACCTGTCTTAAAGTTGCCAAGGTTGAGGAACCCTGCCCTAGTCTAATCAAAATGCTTCACTCTTCCTATGAAAATGTCCATTCGGCTATTTTACACCCGCTTTTTAAAAAGATATTTATTTTGCGAGCCTTCCCAACGCAACGCCATCCCCTTGGGGTTTTCGACTCAACTCAGTGAATTTGTAGCAGCCACCCCCCGCATTAGACTTTGCAGTGGTTGTTATTCTTATGCCAAAATTTGTCTTGTGAATTGTGCCTTTTTCAGGTTAACCCCCTTGGCTAAAAGAGCCAATTGGGTCTAGTGGTTAAGGTTGCGGGCTAGAAACCAGGAGGCTGCGAGTTCGAGTCCCGCCTTAAGCATGAAAGCTGGTTGGGCCAGTCCCTTTCTCTCAGCCCAACTCACCTCACAGGGTTGTTGTGATGGGGAAAATAGGAGGAAGAAGGAATATCAGGTATGTTTGCCACCTTGAGTTTATTTATAAAAATAATAAAGGAGGGGTAAAAAAAAAATTCTGAACAGCTAAAGCCTAATAAAAATCCCTTAGTCAACCGATTTAGTACAGGGACAGGCCTCAGAGCAGACGCCATTTTGGCTCATTGTGTTAATGTAAGCCTGCAATAAACAGCTGAAGGTGTGGCAATATGCACACGTCACAACGTGGCTTTTCTGTCAAAAGCACTTGCTGGAGTAGAAAGAAAAAATAGAAACCAATAAAATAAAATAAAATAAAATAAAATAAAATAATACTAGCTAATTAACCAAATGGGCAGGTTTCCTTAGGAACCTTAGCCAGTCCCATTGTGGAAACATTCAGCCTTCTGCAAAAGTATTCTGGCATAAGCTGGAAGGCCTGACTTTTGGGGGCTCGCTTGGGCATGTGAAAGCTGATTGCGGGCGCTCTCACAAAATGGCTGCCGCAGGGCTTGCCCAGGGCCACCAGGTTCAGGCTGCAAACATCCAGAAACCCGCAAGGGGGTCAAGAGTGAGGGGGCACAAGCCTTTTCCTCATCCCTTGGCTGCCCTCCAGCAATTCTATGTGGGTTTGCAGCCCTAGGTTACCTCAGGGACAACATGTCTTTGGCACAGCCAGCTGCAAAAATAAAAAAATTCCGGAGGAAAAATGGGGGCGGTTGTGGTCCTCCCATGCGACCTCCAATTTTTGCTGTTCTAATTTTGCAAGAGGCACTTTCAAAGGGAGCATTTTTTTTTTTAAGAAGGCCTGGGGCCCCTTTAAAGTTGACCCAGCCATTTCTTGCCTGTCTTTACTAAGGAATAAAATAACTGTTGTTTTATAGTCAAGCAGCCCAGGTTAAAACTCAGCACGTGACCAATTTTAGCCTGAAACACAGCTGCTTGGGCTGGGCTTTGCGAGGGGCGTCAACCCAGCGCTGTGGTTTGTCAACCAGGATTTGAGGCTTAGCATTCTCTGCAAGCCTGCCAATCCGGGTTCTGTTGCCACGGTTGCTCAGCAAGCCAGAGTTAAGGAAACCATGGCTTGGCGTGAGGCACAGCTGCTTTTCCCTCACCGCCAACTGTCGTGCGCCTCAGCATTCCGAACAGGGTTTCCTGCACCCAGCTGGCCTTTGGCAGGGGCGATGATGTCACTTCCACTTCCCATTCAGCCCCTGGATGAGGTACAAGCACAGGCTGCATTCACACAAACCCCAAAACCAGGGCTTTGGAGTCCAAGAGCCCCCATTTAATGGAGTCAGCTACCTGTAACTCAGGAACTCCAAGGCTGCCTTGCTTGGCTAGACAGCAGCCATCTTGAAAGCTATCCCAGTACCTTTGTAGTGGCACGATTCTATCTATCTATCTATCTATCTATCTATCTATCTATCTATCTATCTATCTATCTGTGTCTGTCTGTCTGTCTGTCTGTCCGTCATCTATCCATCCATCCTCACAATTTCTCAGATGGCAGTGAAGATGCTCACAGGATCAAGCATTTGAGGAAATTAGATGGAGTTTATTTTGGCTTTTCCTTTGCTACTGACTTTCCCCATGCTGACAGGACCAACCCTGGCAAGAATTCTAGGAAATAAGGATTTCTCTGAAAGTAGAAAGCTAGCTCATCAAGAGCAAAGGCTCCAGTGTGGCCATCTGGATCTTGATCATCTTGCTTGCTACCTTTGGGGATCTTTTAAGCTGCCCGGAGTCTCTTTGGTCAAGTTGGGCAGCTTGTATAAATTCTTTTAATAAATTAAAATAAAACCTTTTGAAAGGGACGGCGAGCACTCCACCTGCTTTTTAAAAACTCATTTGACTTTCCAGGCTGACATATATTCCTGCTGTGTCATCTAGCAGGCTATGCTAAATAAAAATAATCCAGTTAGGTTTTAGCAAAACCAGACTTCAAATCCCTCAACTATCATTGGTGCATAATGACACTGATACGATGACACCCTTGCCTCTCCAACTGTTAGTAGGTTTGAAAAATCATTTTATTCTAAACAAGGGACAGGTTACATGTGGTCTCAAAGCAGAAAAAAGAACAAAGGAACAAGATGGTCCAATCAGATAATACAGAACTGAGTCCAATTGGAATGAACTTGGGACATGGGCCAGTTTTTTCATTCTTCTCCCCAAAGGAACTCAAGGCAGCCACATGGTCTCTTTTCCTCGTAAGAAAGTTTAAAAAAAAAACCACCCCAAAAACAGAGAGGTAAAGGAGTGAACAGTAACTTACCTACACAGTACGTAACAGCCATAGAGAGGGGAGAGTGCATGTAAAAACCACACAACCTTAATCGCAGAAAGGCATTTATGACCACAAATTCACCTGCACATCTATCTGGACCTCAACAAGATGACCAGCCTTCCTTGTTGCAGCCCCCAAAACCTTGAAGCTCTTTTCTCCCAAAGATCCATAAGGCTCTCTCCCTTGTGTTTTTTAAAAAGATCTTTCAAAAGAGTTTTATTTCACCAGGTCTTAATCCTGGCTACGTTTTACTGGCGTCCATCTTAGGAAGGGGTGGATTAAGGAGTACTGTTTTTTGCATTGTGACTTACACAAAACTATTGTTACTTTTATGTTTTTAAATGTGTCAGCTATAAAAACTATGAAATTTTAAAAAATAACAGGCTATATCACAGCCTGAAAACCCAGCTGTCTGCTTAGCAACAGAGTCTGTGTTTGTTTACTGTACAAAGCAGACCTAAATGACTGCTGTGTATTTAACCACAGCGGCAGAATTTTCTTACAACATAATTACATTTTTCCCCTTTCCCTTCTTCTTTTCTCAACATTTTCATCCAATTTCCTGCTTCCTCAGCAGCTTGCTTGTTTGAGTGGCTTTCAGTGAGAAAAAAGATTTGCTAGGAAACAGTTTTCATCTTTGCTAGTTGTTTGCATGTGGTGGGAAAAAAGTGTAAGTGTGATTTCTTTTTCACGTTAGAATTGTGTCACTTGCACCATGAAGGTACCTATATTTCTAATCTCCTGCCAAGGGACTCAGCAGAGCAAAAAATCCCCTTACTCACTCCTAAACGGATACTCCGGCACACTTAATGTATTTATTCGTACCAATCTGCAATAGGGAGATACTTACACCATTCAACACTGCAAGGTTGCCATAAGAATGACTGTTACAAGGCTCCATTTCAAAACTCTGTATATATGTGATACAATTGTCACTTGGGCCGGGGGAAAACAAGAAAATCTCCTTTGTCTTTTAAATAATGTTTTTAATTAAAATTCTACTCAAAGCAGTATCAAGATTTTACGTTTCTGAGATAAATCTTCGGTGTTACCCATCCCTCTGGGGGGGTTTTCAAGCCAGCTCTCTTCCACACCCTTTTCAGCTCATTTTCAAATTTTTTCTATAAAGAAAGGAGAAACAGAACAATAAAGTCTAGCCTGGAAATGATGCTTTAATACAAAGAATTCATGGCAAGTGATCTGAGTTTAGCCTGTAATCTTATATCACCATGTTCCTGGGTATAAGATTTTCACTTACCTTATTTCTGAGCAAATGAAACACTACCTTTCCAATGTTGAAAGACCAGCCTCTTAGAAGGGTGAAAAAATTAAAATAATCTAACACAACCTTATAATGTCAGGATTTTACCCAAAGCCCTGTGGAATTAACTTAGCTTTAACAAGTTTCCAGAAGCCTATTAACAATGGAGCCTTCAACAGGAAGCCATTTCAGAGATTCAGGACTATCATAGAGAAACAAAGTCTCTGGGCCTCAGTTCCCTTCACTTTCAGGAACGAGGCATAACTAAAAGTTTATCTTGGGAGAGATGCCCCGAGCAGGTTAGATTTGACCCAGGTGCCAATTTTTTCACATCTACAATAGAGATGACATCCTAGAAAGGCCAAGGCAAAACTGGAGTCTCTCGAGATATTCCACATCTAGGTTTTTAACCTCCCCCAATGGTGGCCCAACCCATTTCTGGTCGCACCAATTATGATCATGCTATGTGGGTAGCTGGATTAAAACCATGGCCAGAGACAAGTGATTGAGTCATTCATGACTATGCAACGTGGCTGAACCGAGGTATATGTACAGTTGATGCACGTTCATCAAAAAAGACTCCATTATGGTGTGCAGACACAAAGTGCTCTTTGCCTAGAAGCAGAAGAGTGATGGGAGTTCAACTGCCTGCATTGCCGAGCTACCAGGAATTACCTCCCCAACTCACCTGTTTCCGCCACAGCCGTTTTTCCAAGATTCTCTTCCGCAAAAATTTTGTACGTTTCATCAGCTTCCTGTACTTGTGTTTATTCATCTTCCTCCTCCGGATCTTCAAAATGTTTCTGCATTCCTTTCTGGGCCAGTTCATCTCCCCTCTTTGCTCTGCCTCCTCCTCCTCTGCCTCGGTGCCCCTGGAAGGAGCAGGGAGATCATACTGCTGGAATGGTTGGGAACCTTTCCTGTCATGAATGTTTATGATGCCTCCATTTTTAGGGAGGAAATATTGGACCGTCAGCCAGCTTTCAAGGGGGGAGATGGACATCTTGCGAGGTACCAGTATTTCTTCCAGTTCAGGGTCAAGTGTAAACCACTGGTGGGGGTGGGCTCCATTTTTGCTCGAGGGATGTGTGCTGTAACTTGCCAAAACTGTTGCTCTAGGAGGTAGAAGGGAAACAGACGGTCTCGACAAAAAGCGCCCTATGGACAAGTGGGAATGAAATTCATAAATAGGTATTTGCGAGAATATTTTTCATTTATTTGAATAGCCACCCATCTCACAACAAAGTGACTCTGGGTGGTGTACATGGTTCCCCTAGGTTGTCTGCAGAATATGGCAAGCATGACCCAAAACTGCAGCTTGCCTGTCTGCCTCTGCACACAGAAACAGAAGACACATGTGTAATCATCCCTCAACACCCCAAGCAGGGTTTGTACAACACACTTGATTTGAAACCCAGATTAACAAAACAGTTGTGATATTCTCGCACATTCAAGGCTCAAATAAACTCAACGATGGTTTGTTTGCAGAGTTTGCTAAGATAGTGGCCAGGTTTCCCATAACATGCATCCCTCTCAGTTAAGAAAAGGCCACCTGCAATCAAGGCTAGACTGGAGAGCAAACTTTGTTCATTCAAACAGAAGAGGAGGAGAAAAAAAGAATACTCTGAACATGTGCAATCTTACATTTTTAACCCACTTAAGATAACCACAGCCCAGAGCCACTACCAGATTCAGTGGAGTCTCCTTCTGCTCCCCTAATTGCATCACTTGATTCGAGGACCTCCCGCTAAGCATCCCTATTCAATCTTGGCTGATCTCAAAATGTCAAGCAGAGATGAGCTTGGTAAGCCCTTGGATCGGAGACCACCAGGAAATCACAGAGCTGCAGGCCAGACTGGGGAATCATTTAAAAAAAAACAACAGAGAAAGCAGGAGTGGTAAAGCACCTCGGCAACGCTACCCAACTACATCTATGTCGTTGCGTCCTTACAATCACCAAGAACTGAATGCGATTCAGAGGTTGGTTTGCCTCTTCATCCCCAGCAAAAGGAGGGGATGGGAAAGGCCTTTTCCCGCCCACTACCCAGTCACAGAAGAGACTGTCTCCAGGGGGAAAGATACCCGCCCTGGGACAAGCCGACACGCTCGACTCCTGGCAAAGGCCGTATTTACCTGCACACCGCGATGCCCTCACGAGGTGAGCCGTCAGCCGAGAGACCAGCATGTCGAGGCCGGCTAGTAGAAACGAGAAAGAAAAGGGCCGTCAGTGCACTCGAATAAAGGCCCTTTCGGGCAAAATAAGGCCTAAGGCAGCCTTCGAGGCTTTAGACGGGTCAGGCCCCATTTTAAAAGAAAGAGGAAGCATTGCGCGCGCTCTCTCCTACGAATTTGTATACCCACCAGCACATACATGCACGCACACACACACATATATGTGCATGCACATATACAGAAATGCCTCTCGTACACATCTTATTTCTCCCTACAGACGCGCTTACCATCGACTTGGGGTCGGCGGAACAATCCGAGCGCGCAGTTCCGGTCCGGCGCCTCGGTCCGGCGGTTTTAGAGTCCCGCCCGGAAACGCGCGCTCAAGCGGGAGGTTCCTCTGCTGAATTCCTCCCATTATTGTCTGCTTCCCTCTGGTGATCAAATAGCGCAGGAGACTGAGGACGACGACAGATGGATAAGATGCTATATTTTTAGGTTAAATATTAGTAAACGGTTTTTTGGCAGTAGGGATTTCTAGTGTTGTACAACTATCTATTGTGATATTTATATCACATCCCGCCCCCCAGCTTAAGGAGGTACCTATCACATTCCCTACTCTTTTTCCCAACAACAATCCTGTGGGGCAGCTTGGGCTGAGAGGGAGGGACTGGCCCAAAGTCACCTGATGGGTTTCCAGGGCTGTGGACTCGAAGCTGCCCTCCCCCGGCCCTTTTTCTGAGTGCTATTCCAACACCTGAACTGTTACACTACAATTTCTAATGGAGAGAGGCTTTAAAACACAATGAAGGCTGGGTGATGTTGTAAGAGGCTATAAATCACTGGAGGAAACAGCCTGACCGGATCTCTCACCAGTTGAAGTTCACAACTGTGTGGCAGATTTTTCTGTAAACTAACAGAACAAACATTTGGGGGAAGAGATTGCTGTTCGATAGCTGGCAACCAGACGCAAATGTTGGGGATTCAGTTCGGCTTCAGTCCGTTGAAAGATTCAATCTGGTGTAAGGAAACTAGCAATTAACCAGTCCTGCAGTTTCTATTTTGACAAGCAGAGGCTTGTTAAGGAGAATATGGCAGTTTCCACCCTCCTGCTTAACTGATCCCTTTTTAGAACTGGAGACATCAAGAATTAAGCACAGGATCTCCTGCTTGGATGTAGAAACTGTGACCTAGTCATAAGAGACAGATGAGTTCAGATGATTAACAAAAGGAGAGAGCCAATGTTGTTGGTGGTGAAGGTGCTAAATTAGGAATGGGGAGACCCAGGTTCCAATCCTCCCTTAGGCACAGAAGCTGGCCGGGTGACCTTGGGCCAATCACCCCCCACCCCAGCTCTGCAACCTGGCTGAAAAACATCCCCCCCTCATCACATCATGTATTGATAGCTTGAGTTGTGTGAACTAGGAGTGTGCAATGTGAAACAAGTTGACTCTGCAACTAAATAAGAGAAACACTAAGAACATGGTAAGACAGTAACACTGCCGGAATAGAGGGGAAAGCTTTTAATTCCTTCTCCCATGTAATTCCCTCCCAGACCAGCAAGCTTCAGATTGGCTGCGTTCACACATTTAACCTGGTTACTAAATTAACCCACTGCACATTACGTCAAAGCCTAAACTATCTGGATTCACATATCAGACTAAGACCCCCTCCCCAAAATACTTCCCAAATGAAAACTAAGCAAGGTTGTGTGGACACAACTTCAGAGTTCCAGGTACTTCCAATTTGCTCCAGAGTCTCCTCCCTGGCAGCAATACAGAGAATGACTGATGGATTGGAAACCAGCTGTTTGCCCTAAACACACACTGTGATTCAGAGATACTGCCAGGAGAAAAGGAAGTTTACTCACGCCATAGTCTAATAATTTAACTACTTTGGAGCTGGAAGTCTGTTGATACCTTCTGTTCCTGCATGGATAATGTTCTTTTGGCCACAGAAAATAATCAGCATTCAACTCATTAATAGAAGAAACAATTAGGTGCGCAGATGCCCCAGGAGGAACAGGGAAAATATAGATTTAAGTGTCATTTGGTAGAATTCACATTGTTGCTCTCCCAACTTTAAACTGCTTGAGATCAAAAATGCTAATTCACATGCTTTGAAATGTTTATGCACACTGGGAACCAGAGTTGCAGATTGATTTTCTATCTTGTGCCAGGTCCTAAAAGAATTCTAACTAAGGTAGATCTGGGAACAACCTCCTGCCCAAATACAGTCAGGTCCAGAAATATTGGGACATCGACACAATTCTAACATCTTTGGC